ATAGCGTGCTAAAATAATACGTCAACTAGTGACAGTCCAGGTTTTTCCGAGTTTGCAGTGTAATCTCAAGGTTGACTGAGTAGCTTATGCGCGTAAACATAGAAAAAGTAAATTAGGGACTTTTTTCAGATGAGTTCTGGGGACCTAACGTCCCTAAATTTTCTCATTTTCTTTTTAATAGCGTACGTTCCTGGGGCCGACTTGAATGTTAACTGTAGTTCGCCGCTATCGGAGGAAGTATTTTCTGGAACGGTAATGAATTTTTTGTTAAGCTTTTTGTCGTGGTGCGGCTGCAGGTAGGTTGAAGGTATCTAGCAGAATATAAACTGGAAGCTTTATTCCTGATGCTGCGATCCAGGGCTAGCCGTTCGATTATCTGATTTCTATCGCATGTCCATCTATCCATTCCTACATTGGCTTCGTACATAACAAGGTCAAATCTTCTGACCACTCGTGTTTCTGCCCAAGGACCATGGTTTGTTCTGTAGTCAAGAGCAAACACAAGAAATCCTACTTCTTATGTGGATTGCCTTTCCGATATTGTCTCTACCGGTATTGATGCTTTACTCGGATGAATCAAGCTGTGGATCGTTTTTGTCTCCTTCGCATTCGGATTTTTGCTGGGAAATTGTGCTCCAGTAACGTCTCATTTCGTGTGATTCGATAAACGTATAAAAAATTTCGTAATGCTTCGGCTGCTTTCCCCATCCTTTTTGACTTAATTAAAGCTCTTTTAAACGTATCCACAAAACCTTCCTTTTGTCAACTCGACTGTGGCTGGTATAGTGGAGACCATAAGTGCTTGATTTCTAGCCGTTGACAGGAAGCTTGGAATTGGTTAGAGGATCCGTTGTCAGATACAGTCACATCTGGCATGCCATTTCGAGAGAAATTTTCGGTGAGGAGCTGTATTCACTGAGTCGTCGTTGGCGGCAGTTCTGATTTCTGGCCATTCTGAAAGGGCGTCGATCACACCAAATTACATAGTTCCATCAATCGGACCCGCGAAGTCTACTTGTATCCTGGACAAAGGATGATCAGGTTTGAGCCATAAAACTGGCAGAAATTAGGCATTCAACTTTTTGCTTGCTGACAGCGCATGCATTTTTCAACCAGCGCTGTGATATGTTGATTTATAATAGGCCAGTAAATTTCATTCGTTAACACTCCGATAATCAAGGTGGAACTGACTCATCGCTTCTGCGCGAATAGATTCTGGAACAGCCACCGACTCTCCAAACATCAATCAGTCTTTAACAATGCAACATGAATCCCGACACTAATACAGCTCTTTCATGTCACCATCAAACTTCTTTGACTGCCAGGCGTTAGCGACACAGTTCATCGTCATTGTGATGATGAGGCCGTTCCTAGGTACGTTTTCTATGTCTGTTACAGACAAAGGCCGTGCCCGTGCTGAGGTTGTCAGGTAACATTCCGCGTGGTTTTCCACTGACAGAGATTCGATAATCATATATTCTCCGGCCGCCACTTGATCACTTATGAGTCGTAACAAATTATCTTTCTGACCCAGTTGTTGAGTGCGTTGGTATCGCATTTGAAATCATACAGCAAAAGCAACAAAGCCCATCGCTGAAGACAATTAGTAGAATGAGCTGGATTGCCAGATTTCGAATCAAATGTTACTAGCAGTGGTTAGTGATCTATGAGCAGCGTGAGTCTCCGACGATACAGAAACTGATGTAAGGGGTTCACATCAAAAACAGAGACAAGAACCTCTTTTTCTACCCGGCTTTATTTTTTCCCCGAGGTTATTGTGTGCGGTGTACATGCATGACAGCTTTTTCTGACACGTCTGTAAATAGAAAAAACAGCACGTAGGCCGTATGCTGAAGAGTCTGCTGCTACGATGATCCGCAAGGCTGGATATTGGGTTAAGAGCAATTCAGGGCTAAATGTGGACTTAAGTTTGAAAAACGCCTCGTCATACCTTTTTAGTCCAGTTGCACGTGTTTTGCTTCTGTAGTAGACAATTCAGTGAAGTGCGAATAACATGCATGGAAGGAAAAAACGATGAATAATAGCTTAGAAGTCTCGTGAAGGAGCGCAGTGCCAAGATGTTGGTTGGAGTGGACCTCTGTTTGATGGATCGAATGTTTTCGGGATCTGGCCTGCTGTTGTCGGCATGAAAGATGACTCTTAAATACTCTACCGACTACAATAGAAACTGGCAGGTGCTGCGAGGAAGAGTGTGAAGCGGGAGTAGAAACTACCTGTTGTTGAAGGCTTTCATGGAAGAAAATTTTCCGTCCTGCTCCTCGACCCTATTCTCTTCATTTCTCTCGTTAACTACTTATTCCAATCCTTAAATAATTGTCCGAATATTTGCCATGGTTACCGTGGTTAATCTACTCAAGAGCCTGAAAATTTATAAGCTGACGAATGTATACATGTTTGTAGCACATTTACCTCATACCCGGCTCTACCTTGCATTGTTTTGCAATCATTAGCAGCTCGTTGTAACGCAACCGTCGTAAATCGCTCCAATTATTCTCAGTATACATTACAGAATCTGGACCATTATCGATAATTTTATGTGGAAAATATTAGCCCTCTATATGAAACCAAATTATCTTATGACATGTTTCAGCAACTAGATAACCTTGTGAACGTTGCTAGAAGTTTACTCAGAGTACAGAGTTTTTTTACAAACAAACTCTATCAAAGTAAGAAAACAACCTCGCATTTATTCTTTCCATTAACAGGGCCCCAGTGTTCGATTGTAACATGTCCTACTAACCGCTAACACATCAATATGTCAAACAAAACCTGGCAATAATAAAGTAATATTTATCGGTGTCAATTTCGGTGCATCTTCAAATGTATCTCTACAAAAATGAGTAAATGTTAGTAAAGTAAGGGAATAGTATTTTCCGGATTCGCCGGAAGTTAGTACGTAAGCGTTTATGCAAAAGAAATCCTAGGCTCGTTTTGAGCTCAATATTGGATGAGTTTTAGCTACGTTTTCGCAGTCGTCAACAGCTTAGGTGAGAAGCTGGTTGGTCTTTGATCGTTTGACTTATATAATTCCGAATCGGGCTTCTCGAAATTAAAGGAACCACAGTTTAATGGTTAGAAATGAGTGCAAGTATATCCCGACGTACTCAGTAGTGCGTATGAATGGCTAAGAGACTTTACCTAGGGTTAGTTGACGGACGTCCACGGTCTGAAGTAATTGCAGATGGACAGAGAAAATTCGCTACTCACCATTTGACCATAGGGTAGACCATTTTTGTAGAAGTTGTATCTCTCGTTATCACTGCTTCTGGTTTTCGCGTGAAACAATCCATAAACGTTAAGATGTAAGAGACTCCGTTTGAATTCAGTGGAGATCATACTGTCTCAAGATGAACGTGATTGCAGCAACTGAAAAGAGTTGAGAAGGTGTATAAGTGACTTTCACCATATGTAAGCATCTTGAATTTACGTAATCTCACAGAAGAGTGAGAAAGGCTTTTGGTGATATGTTGAGCGTCGTATCCTGTTCGGACGTAGAAGGCTAGACAAGATTTGAACATAGATTCCGCTGCATTCTTCTCTGTCGCTGCGGAAGGTGAATCGAAATTGGCCACTATTTCAGCTGTGACCTCGGTCATTGTTAAGGCTATTTGGAAGTTTGCGAATCTGAGTCTCCATGTAGACGACCTATGGAAACCGTTTGAGTACGGTAACAACCAATCGAATCCATAAGCAAGAGATGATACTAATGATATTAGATTTTGATAAACTCACGAGTGATAGTTATTTTCAAGGCGCTAGTATTTGGTAGTTTACTTCAGATGTTCTCCTATGCCGTTTGCTCCAATCAACAAATTATGTATCCACCTGCTTAAGTAGGCTGTCACTTTAGTAATTTAGGATTTACCACTGTCGGTGAATTTGTACAACCATTTTAGCTGTACTGATTACAATTTGTATTATTTGGAACGAATAAATAAGTCACAGTCATCAAAAGAAAGGGTTGTTTGTCCACGCTCCACGATCACCAATTACATTCGACTTTTACTACCGGAAATTAGTATTAACTCATTTAATTTAAACCGCCTTCCAATAAATGTTCTGAATTAAGCCTACCTTGCAATAAAGAAAATGCAAAGGAATAACAATGCCAGTATCTAATTATTCACCAATCGTAATCTTCAAAATAATAATTTGTTTATATTTCTGTTTGCACATTACTTCTAATTATTTTCAGCCGATGATCAGTTAAGAATTAGATAGAAAATTAAATTTTTCTTATTATAATCAGACAGATAATTGTTGTTAACGTGATAGAATTGAACCAACGTAAATATTGCTCTCATTAGTAAGAAAATTTGTGTATTCTGTCCTACTTATGAGTTAACAGAATCAGTAAATTTACATTGGAAACACTGGATTAATCGCAGTCGGGACACATGAAAGGATAAAACTGTAATCATGGGAATTTCTGAAACTACAAGTATGTTTAATTTATTGATTGCTTCTCTTTCTCTAACCTTTATTTTCACACTGAAAATCAGTGTTTATATTTGTCAAATATAACTCCAAATATAATTATGTGTAGTATGTACCAAAGAAGCGACTGAAGGTAAATTCGTTTTTGGAATTTACGATAAAATGGAGGAAAATGGTTCGCAATAATGTTTTCACATTCTGCTGATTTTCCTTAGTTTTTGTTCCAGATACTGTTAGTGAAATTCACTACTTCGTTGACTAGACTCTTCCATCTTATGTTTGAGTTCCCTCTAAAACCTTTGCCGATCCCATTTGATTTTGTGAACATTACCTGGAGTCTATATTGTAAGAATCATTTCCATCTATGTTAAGCATTCTGATTTTGATAATCTTTTCTAATCGCAGCTTGTTAATGTATTTCCCGTCAACAGGTCCAGTATTACGGTAATTACAAAACGCTGGATAAATAATCTCAAGAATCCCATTTCCAAATGAAGACTATAAAGAATAAACCTGTGCTGGTAGTTAATATTGCAGTTCTAATGTGCATAAGCTACATAGTGGTGAAATTTATAATTTCATTCAAGGGACAAGAACCATTTGGCTTATCACCGAATGATAATTTGTCGCACAGTGTATTACTATATGTCAGTCATTCGAATCAAACAGTTAACTTCAATCAAGCACGTTATATATCATCACAAATGGGGAAGCATGAAAACAAAATTACACTCGGTTTTACTGAAAAAGATCTTGAAAAACTATATCAAGCAAAACCTATTCCAAGTCGTGTAAGTTTGTATTAATGACTTTCTCCTACTTCATATTGATAGTAGTTCATCCAGTTGACAGGATTCGTCAATTTTTCCTTCATCTTGTTTTATATTCATTTTGGACTATCTTTTATTAAATAATTAAGACCATTCAAAGACCATCTACTTGTTTCGGAATATTTTTGTGTAATTATCATACTGACATCACAAAAGTTGTACTGATGTTCTGGTAGGGCAGTCGGGAGTATTTCTATCAAGAAATTTCTGTCCTTCTCATTAATCAGACCGAGGCTCGATTTCAAATAAAGTGTAACTATGTCAGTTAGTATTAAAGTGAGTTAACATCGGAGCTTCAGTCGTCAAGCCACCGTCACACATTATTGAAACTATTCAATACTATTGGCTTTAGTAAATCTGCTGAACTTCACTAGGCTTTTAAGTTCTCATATTTCATGTTGAAAACTGTACATACAAAAACAGTTTTCACAAGCCTACAAATATTGAAGGGAAGTAATCTAACTAACAGCGGTTTGGAGAGGTCTTTTAGCACAATAAATATTGTTTCAAGTAATTTATCGTTAAGTTAAACAATTGTCGCCACTATTCAAAAGATAATGGCAATTTTAAGACTATGGATGTTTAGTAATCGAGTCCACATTGGATGTCTGTGTATGCTGATATGACTAGTAGTGCAATGTTTCCTGAACCAAGTTCTAGATTGGATGAAATTGTAAATACAACAATAAAAACAAATACAGTTAACGAAAGTTGACAACAGTAATCTAAGGATTTTGATAAAATCTATCAAAAATTAGATGTATATATATTCAAACAATACTTCAATAATACTTCTAAAACACTGCACTTATATTTCTTGTAAAGAGATTATGTGCGTCTGTGAAAAGTATATTATTTGTGATTCAAAAGATAAATACGTTTTACACTGAACGAAAATGCTATGTATAACATAGTTCTGTGTTTTATATTTGAAAAGCTTATATAATTCAACTTTGAGCAAGTCATGAACTAATCTATTTTACCCATAACTCACAAATATTAATATTGAGTTGGTATTTTTTGAAAAAGGACCACACTTTATGTTGTCGTCAGATATGCACCAAATTTTACAATGAAAAATCTATTTATACTGTGCAGGCCTCGTTTAATTATTAAAAGTATTTCATTCACTGATTTTAACTGCAGAAAAAGGTAATCCTTAACTATGGAAGCCTTTCAATCTATAATTCCCACAACTTTTCCTTCTGTTACGCTTCTGATTGTGAACTTACTTTCGACAAATCACGATGGAGTGAAGCCGATGTTGTCATCTTGACAGATCACTTGTATCCTGTTGGTCGAAGACCACCAAATCAATTATGGTTCGTTTTCGTACATGAACCTCCCCCAATTATCAAAATTGCCAATGGATTGGAAAATAAAGTGAGCGTATTATTTACCATCTATTATAGGTATATATATGTATTAAAACCATCGCGAAAATATCTCGTTTCGTCAGTTATATACAAATAGGTGAACAGTTCTAAAATATTCCTTGATTCCTATTACGTAGAATTCACTGATAAACTCATTAACAGTAGTGTTAGACTAAAGATTCTAATATAGTCTTAAGCGTAAAGTGGTTTGTCGTTTTTAGCACGAAAAATATTAAAATGTTTGCTTCAACAAATGGAGTGCTATTCAGTCATCTCCAGTTGTGTTTACCAGAAATGTTTGGGCGATAGTTTTGTTGTTAGATTTCCCTTATCTATGAAGTAATTCGTTCCATAATTTCGATCAACTACTCTGTGTTTAAGGGTCTCGTGCGATTAGGACTTGATTCTTTCAAATACTATGAACAATCGATCTGTCACCTTGAATTAGTAAAAATATATTTGTTGATTGTAAGATAACTTGTCGATTGTGAAAACCATCACGTTTTCAGTAATTAATGCACTGACTGAAATGAAATGACACAATTTTACTTTAGTCAGTTTATGCAGAAGTTATGTAGAATTTATTTCGCCGGCGGCTGTCCTAATCGCGTCCAATAGAAACACACCGGTACGATTCTCCTAGATCCCCGTCCCAGCCAAATCAGAAAGCCGAAAATTCTAGGAGAAAACCGTCTCTATTGTTATAAAAAATGGAAATACAGAGACTTACGATGTTTATGTTTCTTCCAGGACTAAATTACTCCGTAGAGTATCTATTACAATAGCTAGTAAGTGACACTAAGTTCAGCAGCCACTGCGTCTATCCAAAAATGTGGCGGTAGCCATATTATATCAAATTTAAACAATATATGTACAATTCAGAAGCAAACACAAAAACTTCAATATAGGTACAAAATATGGAAAGAATAACGACATACAATGGTAAAATCTCAAATTGGAATCAAATAAAATACCAAAAATGTCAAGAGAAAAAGTCCATCATGTCATGGCAAAAATATGTAAACATGGAGGGATTTTCCCAAAAACAAAACATTCAAAAAGAATTCTACACCGGCCCGCAAAATCCCTCCATGCAAAAACAGCAAGCGTTAACGACACCTTAATTAGGGTTCCCATGTTATCCCCTAATCCACACCGGAATAACGTGTAGGACTTACAGCAGTACGCCTACCCGCCATCCAACATGGATATGACCTATCGCGCTAACTAGATACCTATACTTTCCCATCAGGCCCTTGATTCCCCTATCTATCGTGGAATGACCTAACGGTATTATAAACCTTCCCCAATTAACCCATACGAACATGAACAACGCGTCGCAAAACTGGTCATATCCTATCCAAGGACTACATTCTCTATCGTGGGGACGAGTCGCCAATCCACCACCACTTGCTCTGATCAGCAGATACCATGAAGTCCGTGATGCCAACTTATCAACAGAAGTTTTTGACCCATAACTAATATGCAAGGGTGAGATTTCCAATTTTGACATTTCGTCGTCTCCAGAAGACCTTAAGTAGCATGACGTAGGATCAATATTTATCCTTCCATCTCCTGCTGCAGAGGAGGTTTGAACAGTGTTCATCATCGTCGGTAACTCATTTGTCACATCAGTGACATCCAGTTTATTATCAACGTCTAAATGATTCCGTTCTACATTAGCATCCGTTTCCGCGGCACAAGACATATGCTCAACAATAGCATCGTCATCACACAGCACTGTAGACTGTCTGTTACCATCAAACATTTTCTTCTCATCATCACTCGACTGACGGTCAACCGTAATAGGAACAGTTACAGCTGCACAACCTTGTGCATCTTCAATCGACTTAACCTTCGTGACGAGGTCCAACGGCGTCGAAACACTAGGAGGCTCACTCGATGAAGTCGATAAACTAGTCCCTATAAGTGGACTGCTGACACTTTCTATATCCTTATTATCACTGTGACTATTGAGGTTCTGATGGCTACTATTTCCATAGCTAATCGTAGCATCCGTAAGAGCATGAGGTTCAGGCTTTTTAGTAATAGTAGCATCATGTCTCCTAGGCTTCTTAACCGTTACTGTATCACCATCACTTATCCTAGAAGCTACTCTAGGTCCAGTTATATAATTTACCCTAACTGAAGGGTTCCGAAAATAAGCTTTATTCCGTTCAGTCAATCCTGCCTGGGCTTTATTCATATTTGCTGAACTCACTAACCTCTGATTACTCGAATCCAAATTACCGTTCCAGGCTTTTCGAGCAGCTAAGAGGCTTTTATCGTCACACACTTCGGATCCATCTTGATGCCTACACTTTTCGCCCTTTTCTTTCTTTTCTACACTTAGAAAAGCCATCTTATCTGTTACACCAACCGGCTTGTTACTAGGACACGCATCAAGAGGCTTTACATCCTTACGGTCACGTACTCGTCCTTCATCAGCGTATGCTTTCGTGATATAATTGACAATTCTCTTATCTTCCGAGTATGCTTTAGGTAGAAACGAAGAATCCGAATGTCTCGCACGCAGACCACTAGTAGCTTCCTTATTATTTCCTGTTTTAGCCTGATAAGCTAATCTTCCAAACCTACTACCAGCTATCTTAGCACGAGACATAATAAATTCCGTCAATTCGTTAAAATTGGGCTCTCTCTCCTCTTCGTCCCACTTGAATACTAGCTCTGCCCACTGGGCTTGCATTCGACGAGGTAGGAGCCTTACTATTCGTTCTAAAGTAGTCATAGAGTTAAGTTCAGCTGTACAATTTAACTGTTCTAAAGTTAAAGAAGCATTCTGCATTTTAATGGCCAAGTTCGTCAATGATTCGGGATCATTAAATTCGACATTCCCAGTTCTAAATAAGTCCTCTAAGGTTTCTCGCGCTATCACATGTGACTGCCCAAAAAGCTGTTTTAAAATAACCTTAGCTCTCTTATATCCCGCCTGTGGGTCCATTATAAGACAGCCTTCGATCGCATTTTTAGCTTTTCCCTTACAATAATGAATTAAATACAATAAACGCACTTGATCATCCTTGATTCGAGGTTCTATAAACGTCTCTATCTGTCGTATGAACTTAAAATAGTCGCGAGACCTTCCATCAAAATATGAAAGCTCAACCTTAGGTAATTCTAAACCCTCTATCGATGACTTACAATAATAAATATCAGACATAACATGAGGGTTACGCATAAAAAGCTTATCGTTAACGACTTGCCTAGAGCCCTGTGATCCGTCGAGCTCTTCCACCCTCCTCACGTGTGATTTTTTTCGGTTTGACATCATAAATAAAGTCCAGTAAAGACGTTAACGATACAAAATAGAGTAAATCCAAATTTCAGTTCAAAATTAATGATACGTAGTTCCAATTTCTTCCTCCAAGGAAGTCTAGTATGATAAACGATTAAATTCCAAATGTTTCCTTGTAATTCTTAATAATCCAAACAGATCCAAATTATCTGCGTTCTGGTAAATATTTCCAAGTATAATTCACGCAAGAAGAGCAAACATCAGACTGTAGAATTTATTTCGCCGGCGGCTGTCCTAATCGCGTCCAATAGAAACACACCGGTACGATTCTCCTAGATCCCCGTCCCAGCCAAATCAGAAAGCCGAAAATTCTAGGAGAAAACCGTCTCTATTGTTATAAAAAATGGAAATACAGAGACTTACGATGTTTATGTTTCTTCCAGGACTAAATTACTCCGTAGAGTATCTATTACAATAGCTAGTAAGTGACACTAAGTTCAGCAGCCACTGCGTCTATCCAAAAATGTGGCGGTAGCCATATTATATCAAATTTAAACAATATATGTACAATTCAGAAGCAAACACAAAAACTTCAATGTAAGTACAAAATATGGAAAGAATAACGACATACAATGGTAAAATCTCAAATTGGAATCAAATAAAATACCAAAAATGTCAAGAGAAAAAGTCCATCATGTCATGGCAAAAATATGTAAACATGGAGGGATTTTCCCAAAAACAAAACATTCAAAAAGAATTCTACAGTTATGTCAAATAGAAACAGAAATCTCATACCCAATAAGTAACTAGAAATTGTGTAGTTTCAATCCGCAATAGCTAGTCAGTTCATCACATATATCTAGATCCTCGATCCTGGATCAACATCTAATAATCGTACTAGTAGAACATACAAATATAACCATTGGGAATGTGAAATCAAAAGTGGATGATATAATTTAGGTGAAATTCGGATTCAACTTCGATTTTAAACAGAGTATCTCAATGTTATCTATCTATGTGGACTTCAGCTGACCTTCATTCAAATAAACAGTATTATGTTGAGAATAGTGTCAGTAATATTAGGGACTCTACAGTCATCTTAATGTACACATGATCATGTGTGCATACGCATTTGAAGCCCCAAAAATTCTCCAGCAAACATTAGGTACTACTAGGTACTAATAATAGGTACTAGCCTTCATGAAACTGCTTACTAACGATCTAATAGGATGCCATTGTTTGATGGGTCATTAAGCTTTTCAAAAGTTGTTAAAAACAGGTTTCGACTATACGTGTTATTACTTTTCGTATTGGTTTTTTAAATTTATTAATCAGATATGCTGAATAAATTGCATATTCTAATGTTACAAATTTTATATTCAGGTCAACTACACAATCACCTATCGAATGGATTCAACTATTTATTTTCCGTATCTCAATTATGTCCCATTAGATGCTAGTCATGGTCCAGATACAAAATATAAACTTCCTTCTCGTAACTATGCCACCGGTAAATCTAAAATGGCAGCATGGTTTGTAAGCAACTGTAAAGCTTCAAGTCCGAGACAAATTTATGTCAAAGAATTATCTCGTTATATTGAGGTGAGAAGCAGCGTTATATAGCCTCCAATTTCATTTCTTTAATTTGCTTGAACTGGTTCCGTTGTGTAATAGGTTCAATTGATAACACAGTTTATGTCATGGTGGAGATTTGTAGCTCAGGTGGATGATTTTTTTTATGTCCAATATGAAATATCTTAGATGTCATATTTTAAGTCAGCACTTTCAGCGAATCAAATTAGAGTATGGCTTGGATATAAATGTGCCTCGTCAGCTAAATTGAAGATCATACAGACATACATGTTACATGTATGTAAAAATGTCAAATGCGTGAAAGTTAGTAATCAGTCATCAGATTAGTTACTGAAATGTCGTATGACACATTGATTATTGAAATAAGAATTAAAACTTTGTGAATTTTAGACAAAAACAAGCTTAAGTGGGTGTGCGTCTATCAAAATCGATTTGTTATAGACAGTCTTAACATATCATTTCACTATGAACTTTGTACGCAATACAAATCGGACACACGTGTTCGCAAAAATTACTTCCTAGAAGATGAAGCGTTTGTATGTATTTTGTGACTTGCTCAACACAAAAAGTATTTTTTTCACTTGATTTGGGATTTCCAAAAATTTCATCTACAACATTTTTGTTTACTGAGCCTTCAGATCAATAAATTATACGTCATGACGATAGCTCTACTTAAGTGACTATTGTGCCTAAATTTCCACTTCCAGTATGGATTATGGAGGAGTGGTTGTGTGGAAAATTACGACGACACAGAAAAAAATAGAACTAGACATTTTTATGTAGTGTTAGTGTATTCAAGCAAAGAAGAACGATGCATTATGAGACACAATCAGTTCAAATCTCTTCTCACTTGAATGTTTCGTATTATAACAAAAACGTGTAAGTGAGATGTGATACACACTTCATACCTGCGGAAGCAAGAAGACTTACATGAGTGAAAGCCTTCATGTTCACAAACATCATCTGAGGTTTATATTTCAAGCACTTCTCTGCTTGATTACAATATGTAATACTAAGTTTACTTCGAGTCACATTTGATTTACATGAATAATCAGCATTTACCTTACTAATGGTCAATTTCTAAATCAAGCTCCTCAGTTTCAACTGTTTTCACGCAACACTGTTCGTTAACGTTGTCGACCGTTCTCTCATCACACAGTCTACCATCTGATTTTAAAGTGATTTTGTACAGTTCGCAAATGCTTGCTTTTATTGTTCAAGTAACAACCCGTCATTGTTTTTGAAAAATGTCATAGGTTGATATTTATGGTGCTTGTGGCACTATGAATTGCCCTAGGAAATCCGAAGCTGAATGTTTTGCTCTACTCGAAAGTCAGTATAAATTCTACTTGAGTTTTGAAAACAGCTTATGTCCTGATTATATTACGGAAAAGTTTTTCATCAACGCATTGAGGTACGTCAACATATCATATTGTTGATATTATTACCCATCGTTTTCTTCCTCTTTACTATACTTTACTTGATAGCTCGATTTCATTCGCTCTGTATCTTAGACACTGAATCATATGAACATAATAAATCATCGGTTAATCTTCCGTTACCATTGGTAGAACTAAGCTACCCAGAGCTATCATGAATTTCTGCGGAGATATACTCCCAAAGTGAATGTATTTCAGCGATTTTATGGTTGATTCTGTGGATATATTAATAACCTCAGTTACTCAGTGACAGTGGTGACGTCTATTCAGTTCAAATAAGGAATACAGTGATTTTAGTTAACTGTAAAATAAAATAAAATAAAATTGGTCTTGGTGGTCGAGATAAATAATCTTTAGTAGTCAATTGACCTTCTCACCTTTATTTTCTAGGTCAACACTTCACTAAAACAACCACCTATTGAATTTGTTTGATTTATTTTTTGCAGTCACAATGTAATTCCAGTTGTCATGGGTGCATCGATCGAAGAATACAAGCGTGTTGCTCCTTCTCATTCGTTTATTCATGTGGATCAGTTTCAATCGCCAGCGGAACTTGCTAATTATTTGAAGTATCTGGACAGAAATGAAACCGCATACAATGAATACTTCGCATGGCGTGATCATGGAATTATAAATGCTTGGACGCCAAAGCCCCAGTGCGTTATATGCTTATTAGCCCACATTGCTGATAAACTGGAACCATATACATTCCCGAATGTTTCAAAATGGTGGAATGATGCTTGTATTGGCCGTAAAGTGCGCCGGCACCCGTTCATTTAAATATTTCTACAGCATCCATTCAAAGTCAGTTTTGGATAATATTTACATCGCAGTCAGAAAAAGTTATGGATCTGTCTAATCTACACGGATTACAATTTCAACAGTTTGTTATTCACATCATAACTTCCCTGAATCTGCTTGTGTGTTTACATTAGACAAAAGTAACCTCTGTTTGTTTTTATTTACAGTTAACTGTCGCAATAACGTGAATATATAAGTGACATAACATAATCCATTCAACAATACTTGATAATAAATAAATTACCATAAAATCGTAAAATCAAACGAACTATCTCCCAGTTAACTTCGAATATATCCATTTCGGAAACTGAATATTCAATAGAAATATCTTGTGGAAACCAAAATAATGTTTCAAACACAGCTAATGCTTCGCTCACAAACTCTACCCATTTAAATGGTATTAGGTTTTTCAGATGGTTTGCATGAAAAAACTGAAACAAATGTTAACTGAAGTGACTTGCTCTTTGTATGAGGAGATTCTGTTTGTTACTTTATTAAAAAATGAGTTTAGGTTTCAATAATATGTATACAAAGAAGACATACATAGGCATCCTCCTATATACTTAATGTCCTAGATACATCTCAGCTGCTAGCGAGAAATCTACAACTAGGTGGAAGTTTATATAAACCACACGGAGGTTTGGACGAAGTAATTGTTGCAGACTTGGGTTGTACAGCATTAAGCCGATGATTCCATTGAAAGAACGTGTAACGTGCGGCAGATGTGATCATTCGCTGAACTGGTGCGCAATCGCACATGTCGTCGACCCACCCTAATGTGTTGGGATTAGCCGAGCTCGATTAACTGCTTGCAGTATATCGGGTACATTATGGGAGTGTGTACATCCTAGCTGACTTTGCAAGATTATCAATCTTTGGAATTTTGTGGAGTTAAGAAAGTGTTCGTTCGACAGTCTTGTACAGAAGGCAATCTGAATACCTCAGTTCGCAAAGCGGCATTGTGTATCTCAGACGAGGCTGGACCAGTTTGCCTTTTCCTTCTTGTTTCTAGACTGAACTATATGTTTGGCTATGCTTATTAGGTCTGGTGTTATGCTAAATGACGATGAATAGAGCTTCGAATCTTGGAGTCCAGTTTCGAAAGGAAATATGGTGGTGGTGCGAGTATGAGGTTACTAAAAGGTTGTAGACCACTTAGTGATTTGTCGAGTGGACGTATGTGTTCAAATTGTCGTCCTGTTATTATTCTTATGCACCGCGAGTGATTTTATTTACCGTGACGCATTCTCATTTCTGTCCTAAACAAACCGTAAATAGACATTCTTCACAGGAACACCTTGAGTCACATACGTATAATAGTATCAATTGGGGTTTCCTAAATAAATAAATAAATAAAGTCAAATTTGTGTGGTTGCACTCCTTTTCGGGTTCGCAATTTCGGTTAATGTCAGGAATTAAGTTTCTCTCAGTGTAGTAACCGTTCAATTTTTTGGCCGTCTCTGTGTTAAACGGGTGCTCATGGGATAATTAGTTCGTCTTGCCGTCCTGTTAACATTCTTCTCCTTCGTACTTAGCTTTGCTTTAAAACATTGTATTCTCGTGTTTTTGGATATTTAGGTTCCAATATCCAATATCCAATAACTTTTTCACGAGCTAGTGTAAACCAATTTGATTTCTTCGCGCTCGATTCTTATTCTTTCGGTACGGTTCCAGGTGTTCGGTAATGTCCAATGGATGGAGGTCTAGCCACTCGACTGTCTAATTCTAGTCAGTTGGCAGTTGGTTGTGAGTTTGTATGTCTCGGGATTTGAATGAAACGTTTGTTTCAGGGCAGTAGGGTTTCTGGATACTAGCAGCCGTCACATTACCGAACCGGAGATCAGTTAGTTGCAATGTGGAGAGTAATAAGGGTAAATTAAAATGATAATATGAGTAAAATTTCAGAACTGAGTAATATATAGATGAATTTAGGTTAAATCGTTTCAGAATGTAAAGCCTTCAATAAATCAGAAACACTTCATTTTGATCCACTTTCTCAAAGTAGTCTAGGGAAAATGTAGGCTTGAAAATACTATTTCTCTGAGTGCATACCTACATATACACATATATGTATAAAAGGTTTGTGCTAGTTTGATTACATAATGAATTCGCGTTTGGATATCATCAGTGCAACTCTTTGTTAATATAGAGTATTTTCTCCTTCGTCGCTGGAGCAAAATAGGAGCTCTTTCAGCTCACATCTTTCCATTTATGCAGCAATGTAAATGACTTCCTTTGTCTGCTTATTTGCTCTACCATTTCATATGCCCAAACGTAATGGTTATTTCAGTTAGGGATTTGTCGCTCTGGCTTCCGATGGAGCTGAGAGTTCATAATTTGTCGTGATTACTCATCTAAGTTATGAATCTATAATTAACAACGGAAACGTTTAGATTATTTTTCTGTTTTCTGAGTTTTTCAGAGAGTTAATTTTTCTATGGGATATGGTTGTCAATGCCATGCCTACCTTTCACACTTTATCCGGGCTTTGGTTTGTGAGAAGTCACAGAGGGGTTCCGGATGGCTTAAATAGTGATCATAGATAACATCATAACATTGAGCAGATAATTGCTATACTGGTTTGTGTACTGATACTTCCATATAAATATTCAGGTGAAAATGGTTTTTGCACATGAATTTAGAAGTAAGGCCATATTAATTTTCAATAATTAGGGAAACCTGCGTCATACTAATTTCCTATTCGTAAAATATCATTTAATTAAAGTATTTAATGCCTGAAGCATTCAGCTGGAAAACTTAAAACACATGAACGTTACTGATAGGTCGTTTCATAATTCGATACCATATTTTCGTATGAAATCAACCAATGTGGTAGTTATTTTCTCTTAAGGTGATCCACATCTGACTGATTTGATCACTTTAGCTTCATTACTGTTGGTGTACGTGAGCGTCAAACCGTTTCATTGGTATTTTCCTAATGCTGTTTCTATCTACACCAGGTACTTGTCCATCACCCTTGTTTTAGACGTCAAGGCAACTCATATCAACAACATGCAATCTGACTGCTCAGTAGGTGTGCGTTGAACAACCATTTAAATAGAATTTATATTGATACAAAAGCCAGAGAATATATGCATATGATTTGTCTGTCAGATCAAATATAAGTTTATGCAGATAAATTCTCAATCGTATTACAGAAATATCTGCTTCTTGAAATCAAGGGACATAACCTGGATCATATGCATGCAGAATAACTGATGATAAATTATGAGGAAGCAATTAATTGTTTGGAAATCATTCAGAAACTTTATTTTTGAAGGCAAATTTTGTTTATCATCCTGATGAATGAAATAATTGAACAACTAGAAGAAAACCAAACTGTAAAACATGTTATAATAGATCTAATTAGTTCAATGAATTACAAAATGAAAGCAGAAATTGCTTATTTATTTCCGTTTACAAAGTTTTAGTGTTTGGTATAGTCTTAAGGTCACATAAAATTAAAGCAATCATGAAATTATTGTGTGGTTTTGTGAAATCATTTATTACACTTTAAGATCAACTAAAATGTTATTTTAAATAAAGTTAATTAATTCCAAAAATGATGGTAGAATAACTTGATGTGTATTGTTTTGTGAAAATTTTGTTTGGAACAAAGAAACATGTTAATTGAGATATTGATTTTTTTACAAATAATGCTTTCATGTGTGCTGTACACTCTATGTAATTCTGTTGAATCATTCAGTAAACTAAGGTAATGCTGGTTAAGCTTTTGTTTAAAGTTATCATTATTTCAAAGATGAGTCTAATTTCAAAAACATTAAGTGCAATATTCAATATATAATTAGAACTAGACCAACAAATCATATAGTTACCTGAAACGTTATCACAATATGAGTGACTTGAATAGAACCCTTTTTGGAAGGCTTTGTTCGGGAAAATCCCTCCATGTATACATCTTTAATATGTCTGATTTGATTTGTTCAGTTCTTTATGTTGGTAATCTGTTCAGTTTCATTTTAGGATGATAATATTTGTATTTTATTATAGTTTCTAAGCCAAGATGAAGTCTGACTGGAAACCAAGGAGACAGATTGAATGACGAATCCGCTGTTATAAAGCAAGTGCCATTCATTGCCTTTAACGTTCATGGTTCAAACTCAGACAAATATCATTATAGTGACACCGGTCGTAGGTCAGTGTTAGAGGGCACGAAAATTCTTAGTTCGAATGGGAAACTTGAGGTATCTGGAAAGAACGCAGTGTCTATAGCACCTGTTCTAGGTCTCGAAATACGTATGGTTAAGTTAATTTGGTGGACAAATTTGTGAGACAGTTCGAGACTAATGTAGAACCTCGATCAATTCTGTAAATGTTAATTATAATGACGCAGAGCAGCTATGTAACTTGGCCATAAGAGTGGAAAACTGTGCAACAGTTTTGGAATAAATGAATTATACTGTTGACCTGAACTCTTTAGTTAGTTCAGAGAGGCTTTCTTCTCGACCTATGGAATCTCAGTGGTCAGAAATGGCGGTTTTATGAACTACAGACAATAGAGATTCGACGTTTGCCGAGCTCACCGAACTTATAGCGTCTTCGGCAAGAGCAGCTAATAGTAGATTTGAACGGTTGGCGAATCACCCAAAAACACGACGTAATGTGAAGACGAATTGTCACTTGTAATCGGGAGAGCTCAGTTCTTCGTCCGTAAAGGCTTAATTTAGTATCTGTTCTGATGACCACGCTATTTAAAAAATCCCACGATTTTTAGCCTTCGTAGTTCAAAATCGTCTCATGCAAGGATAAAATGCATATGCTTTGTCTGTCTGAGACAAGGGCATAAAACTGATGAATGTGGGGTGACAAAGCTCTATAACGTTGAAATCTGCGAGAAGAAGCATCACTCTTTGCTCCACTATAAATCAACAGCCAATATCTTCAAATTCTGATAAACTATCATGCGAATTTGAAGTGATCAAGTCGATATTGACTATGATCACCACTGACTAATATTT